TTGCGTGTGTCAAAAACCACATACCGAGGCTGAGGAGTCGAGAAATTTATTACAACCGTTCCGTCAGTTCCAGATTGTGATCTAAGAGTTGCTCCAACATCCGTCAACAGAGAACTTTTTAAAATAACGCTTCACATTTTAAAATCTTGGCGCGGAGTAATTCATTCGAACAGTTCTGCTACTAAAAAATTAACCTCAGAATTTCCGCAATTAAAAAAAAAACACTCCCGCTGGCAAAAAATAAAAAAAAATTCTAATTAAAATGGATAAACAAACATTAAAGGGCAGAGCCTTCTGTCATGTAAGACGGGGAATTTCCTATTAAAAATAATTCCAGCTTTGAAGTACATTTTTCCTGTTCTCCGTTTGACTGCTCATTCTTAGCATGTTGGCACCATGTGAAGAGGTCAGTAAAGGTCAAGCTCTGAATACTCTACAATAACCCCCCCCCCCCTCCTACCTCGCATCCTTAACCCGACCTATCTTATGTGATCTTATGTTGTACTTAATATCAGAGAAATCGCTAATTTCTGACCCACCGTGCCGGAGTTCAGCCCCCTCTGACTTTAAAGCTTCTATCAGAAATGATGTCTTCATACAAATATTTTTATTAGATAGCTTCCATCTTTGATCGATGTGTCAGGGGCTATTTCTATTACGCGGTAGCAGCATGGTTCATTATTGCCAGTTTGTCGTCGTATGGATAGAAGCTAATGGGAGAGAGTTGCATGCCTCTATTCAGCAAATATAAGATCAAGTACGATTCTCCAGTCGTAGACACATTCGGATTACCTTCCTTGAAGACATTTTCCCCTCTAAACTTTGCGGTAGTTTTAAGCATGCCGCGGGTTCAATTTTGTAAAATACATGTAAGACTTTTAGAACACCGCGCACATGAGATACACGTTGCACACTAGCTTCTGCCGTTGCTTGCAAATAGTTGTTTGGTGTTGTGATGATGATTATCTTAGCTCTAGACGACTTCCCAATTAGATAGGAGTTATAGGTGATTTTGGCCCTGATTATCTTTATAGCTCTGACAGTGTTCAGATGGTAGAGTATACAACTGTTAACCCGAAAGTCTCGAGTTCGAATCTCTGGTTTCTGTCCCTGAGTCAACACAGCTCTGATGGGTACCTGACTCACGGAAAGTAAAGAAAATAAAGCTGGGCGTAGCGCTGACCACACGATCCCTTCAACTGCCGAGGTCACTAAAACAGGTGAGCTCTTCTTCACCTGCCACATGGACCGTCAGGTTCGAAAGGGTGCTTTAGTGAACAGTTCTAGACTAGCTCAGATAGTAGGTTATGTCGTTTTGACCCTGATATCTTTACAGTTCTAGACTGAGATAAAAGGTGTATGTCGTTTTGATCCTGATTACAGTTCTAGACTAGCTCAGATAGTAGGTGTATGTCGTTTTAATCCTGATTACAGTTCTAGACTAGCTCAGATAGTAGGTGTATGTCGTTTTAATCCTGATTACAGTTCTAGACTAGCTCAGAAAGTAGGTGTCTGTCGTTTTGACCGAGATTATCTTTACAGTTTTAGATTACCCCCCCCCCCCCCCCCACTCAGATAGTAGATGTATGTCTTACGTCATTTCTGGCACCTTCCTGTGGTGGTTTGAGCTCTTCAGTTTCTCGCTTTATCTCCGCCTGTCACGTGGTCTATCTTGATCGTCGTCCATTGTAACCACGGCAACAGCTGGTGTCTCAACTTGCAGTCCTTGCTGGCACATCATGCAGCACATTTATCTGGCCACACAGCGGGAATCGTATCGCTCGAGAGTCGTATCGCTCCAGAATAGTATCGATACTTTAATAAAAGAGAGCACCTGTTAACTTGTCATTTTACGCGAGTTCTTGCACTTTAAACAATGGCGTCTACCCGTCAAAGTCAGGTCATGTCATGTGTTTATAGACTTGTTGTTTGATTGACTGACAGATCGTGACTTGGGGGTGACTTAGAGATTATGACTTGAAGATCATGATTTAGAGATTTTCACTTAAAGATTATGGTTTAAATAACATGATGACTTGGCAACATGAGTTGAAGCTTATGACTTGAAGATCAAGACTTGGAGATCATGACATGGATATGACTTAGAGATGACTTCGAGACGACTTCGAGATGACTTTGTGATATTTATAAATGTATAGAATGCCTAGGCTAAAGCACACTTTACCGACCCAATGTAGGCATTCTATAGAATGACGAGTTTCGCACTTTGCTGGTAACACCCATCTTTGTATAATTCTCCCAGTAGTTTGTTCAACATCAGCCTGCAAAACATTTTAAGACTCTATACCTCTACAACAAACTCTATGACCTTTTCCCCCTCTGAGGTAAGCCAAACGTCATATCACATCTACTCTATCTATTTAAAAAACCCAGTATCGCACTGTGTATCCTGTGCTGTATATCATTCATAAAGCGCCTCAGTGCATGGAATGGCTGGCTGAAAAAAAAAACAGGCAAAGGGAGATCACTCTCTTGTGCGAGTTACCCCGCTTGTGTTTACAAGTGCTAGATTGTATAGTTTACATGGGGGTCGCGTGTAAAATCAAAGATGTTTTGGCGTTTGTTTTTTCTTTAGGGGAGGGGGAGGAAGGGGGGGGGGGGGGAGATCAGGACTTTATGTGGGTGGTCCGATAGAATGTTCCAGTTGTAAGGGCTATTGGCATTTATGTTGCTTGGTGTTGCTTGTAAGGTGTGGAGAATAAGGTTAAATAGGAACATTTTTTGTTCGATTCCTTCTTTCCAACGAGAAAGCAACGCTTATTATCAGATACGTACAATGTGTATATATATATATATATATATATATATATATATATATATATATATATATATATATATATATATATATATATATATATATATATATATATATATATACATATACATATATCGTAGACCAATGAAACATTATGATGTAATGTTTACCATAGTTGGCGAGTGAATCATTAAAGTGATAAACAAACAGTCACGTGACCCACACACTTAATGAATGAACAGTTTTTTTTCTCCCACGGTACGGCACGGGAGTGTGACGTCACAATGTCCAGTGGCTGTAGGTGTTAAGTAGTGACAGGCTTGACCTACTACTGACAGCTGTTGATGCAAGCTAGCGCTAGTGGTCCTCTACACAACAGACCAAAGACAAGTGCCCGCCAACGGCCGTCTAGATGTCGTTAACACGAGAGGGCGAAAAGCTCTGCGACTCTTGTAACCGGTGAAGTGTATGTCATGCTTGGAACCCATCAAAGGCTGAGTCGTTAAAGTGAGCTATTTTAAAAACGTGTTAATGTGACACGAGTACAACACAACCTGTTACGTCTACTCAATAGATTGTCTAGTGTCGACATAACTCACAGAATAGATAGAAAGGACTGAGTGATTTAGTCGAGGGAGGGGTGTTCGGGTGGTTATACCCCCCTTTTCATTTGATCCCTAAAATGAAAGTTGTCTCATTGTATGTTAAGCTATATAAAAAAAAATGCACTCACATGACCAATTCATACGTATGACATTGAAAGGGCTAGAAACCTTGCAACCACGAATGCAGTAAATAATAACATTAACAGTGCGTGTTTTTCAAATAATAAAAAAAAAATACCAATAAAAAAATTGACCTTTGGGGTACACTGACACACGGGGAACTTAAGTTATGAGCTTGCTCACGTCTTGAATGCGAATAACTATTTTATCTGTTAAGACCTTGTCAGGAATTTTTACATAACCATTTCAACAAAAACCTTGTCGGGAACTTGTGTAAATAAAACCATTCCATCCACGAAATTACACGAGCAAGGCCCGGGTGTCATCCAGCTGATAGACCCACCCCGGGGGCGACTAACGAGGGCAAATTAGATCTAAGTCTTGCAACATCTCTCCTGGATCCATCACCGTGGATAACGCTGGATAACGCTGGATAATGTAGGTGGTGGTAAGCAAGTCTACGCTGGTAGCTTTTCAAAGACTGTAGCTGAAAGCATCGTGTTCTTGTCGACAATAAAAAATTGTACCCCCACACCCAAGGAATGCTGCCCCACCCCTCCCCCACTCTTAAAGACACGACGATCTCATTCATTACCGAAGGAAGAGAAATATTTCCACTTTAACTAAAGCATAGCTCCACTTAACGCTTTGTGTAGCCTCTCAACAGATATTTGGTAAAAAAACAAACAAAAACAACAACATAAAATGACGATAAAAACAGAAAGATAGTGTGAACGTTTAACTACATTTTTTACGGAAAAAATTATGGTTACATTATTTTAAGATATAGCTAATAATTTTCAACGATAAATCTAACTATTTTCATATTAAAATTAATGTAGAAGTATGTATTTTAAGATATCTCTAACATTTAAAAAAAACTACCCGTAACAAACCCCAGATAAGCGAAACGTTCACCTGCAATTTACGTTGTTTTTATCTTACTCTTGATTCTTACAATGCCCTTGAGAACCGAAGATTTTATTACTCACACGTGAAGCAGAATAGAACCTCGTCTATCACAGAAAGATTACACGGAATCGTTGAAGTAGCTACGATTACTTTGCTGTAAAATTACTTGACTGGGCGGTTTTTTATTTACCATTATCACAACAATATAAAGGAGGGCGTGTTTAGAAATGTATGTGTGTGTATGTGTGTGTGTGTGTGTTAAACTTAAATTTAACCGTTCGAAGTATAGGGTAACCCGGGGTAATTCCATACACTACTTTTCTAAAAAATTTGTAAAAAATCTAAAATTAACACTACCACAATATAATATTGAGGGTATAACTAGACATGCATTACTTTTATGATGGCAAACAAATATAGAGATAATTCACAAAATAAAATACAATTTTTAAATATTTCAATTTTATTCCAAAAACATGGCAAGTGGGGCAATTCCACACACATTATGAAAATTTTAAAATTCATGTATTTAAAAATGTGTAAAAAACATTTTTCCCCTTGGAAACAATTTTGCATGGGGGCAACCACTCTTCATCACTGGGTGAGGAGAAAGCCTAAATTTCTTCCTCCTGAATTCTGCTCTCATCTGTCATAGGCCGAAGTTATTCCTTTATAATTGTGGACCATTCTGAAATAAATACAAAATTAAATGTTAGAAAGTCTAATTACTAATGTGTGTATGGGGATGTTTAGCTCTAAATATTGCATAAATTATAATAAATAATATAGGTACAGTAAAAAATAATAATAAATAAAGAAATAAAAGAAGTCTGCGGCAATTTTACTTAACTTTAATAGCATAGTCTTTTTAAAAATAAATAGTACTGGATCTAGTACTATTTAAGTATTTTTTAAGATTAAATCATGAGTTGTGAATTACAGAATTAGCCACAACCAGTTAAAATGGTTTAAAATAATAGCTAAACCCTCTAAAAAGTATAAAAAGCAACATGGGACATTCTAAACAATAGTGTATGGAATTGCCCAACTCCATGTGTGTGGAATTGCCCCACACCTACTATTGAAAAAAAATATGCTTTCCTGTTCTAAATTAAAGGCTGAATCTAGCATCATTAACTGTTACTATTAACAAAAATGATTAAGCTTTCATAAAATCAATAAATAATTGACAAAAATTAAAAATAAGACAAAAAAAAATATTTTTAAAAAAGTGCAGGGGTTGTACTTACCTAAGGATGTTTGAAGATAGATGCAGATAAAATTAAAATTCTTGCTCTTATTGTAGATGAACGCTTCTCTAACAGTATCAGAAAGTACGAGAAATGGTCTCTTAGAAACAGGGAATAGTAACTTTTAATTAAACTTTACTCCCATTAAAAATAGAGAGTATTCAGTATATAGTGTGTGGAATTACCCCGTGTGTGGAATTACCCCACCTTACCCGTATTATCTGGGTTGCCATATTGGCAAAAAGTAGACCTTGTGAAAAATAACGTTGGCGAAGTTTTAACAGTAAGGCGGTACAGTGTTCAAACTTGTGAGGCCTCATTATCACTGCGATTCCAATAGTGCTAAATACTTTTCTAAGAATACGAACTCATAACTTTTACATTTTATATTAGAGTTTTTCATATCTGTTGATTTGTGCATCTATTTAGACGGACACGCACAGTATCAAGCGCTTCACTATTCAAACAATTATTTTTTATCCAGACAAATACTTGGTTATTCAAACAATTATTTGTGCTCACCTGCCCCAACAAAGAACCTGGCCTTGACATTTGAAGCTGATGGCCAGGATTAACTACTTCCGGGGCAATTAGTGGCAGAACTCTGGAACCAGACAGGCTCCAACTGGGAGAATTTAATAACCTTGGCCTTGACCCCGTGCTGCAGGCGTTAGCTGTAGCCATCGTCTGGTGTGGTGTTGTGTGGTCACCATGTGGTTATAGAGCCACGTTTTGTGGTTATAGAGCCACATCGTGTGGTTATAGAGCCACATTGTGTGGTTATAGAGCCACATCGTGTGGTTATAGAGCCACATTGTGTGGTTATAGAGCCACATCGTGTGGTTATAGAGCCACATTGTGTGGTTATAGAGCCACATCGTGTGGTTATGGAGCCACATCGTGTGGTTATGAGCCACATTGTGTGTTTATAGAGCCACATCGTGTGGTTACAGAGCCACATCTTGTGGTTATAGAACCACATCGTGTGGTTATAGAGCCACATTGTGTGGTTATAGAGCCACTTCGTGTGTTTATAGAGCCACATTGTGTGGTTATAGAGCCACTTCGTGCGGTTATAGAGCCACATCGTGTGGTTATAGAGCCATATTGTGTGGTTATTTGGCCACATCGTGTGGTTATAAAGCCACGTCGTGTGGTTATAGAGCCACATCGTGTGGTTATAGGGCCACATCGTGTGGTTATAGAGCCACATCGTGTGGTTATAGAGCCACGTCGTGTAGTTATAGAGCCACATCGTGTGGTTATAGAGCCATATCGTGTGGTTATAGAGCCACATTGTGTGGTTATAGAGCCACATCGTTCGGTTATAGAGCCACATCGTGTGGTTATAGACCACCTCGTGTGGTTATGGTGCCATATCGTGTGGTTATAGAGCCACACTGTGTGGTTATAGAGCCACATCGTGTGTTTATAGAGCCACATCGTGTGGTTACAGAGCCACATCTTGTGGTTATAGAACCACATCGTATGGTTATAGAGCCACATTGTGTGGTTATAGAGCCACTTCGTGTGGTTATAGAGCCACATCGTGTGGTTATAGAGCCACTTCGTGCGGTTATAGAGCCACATCGTGTTGTTATAGAGCCACATTGTGTGTTTATATAGCCACATCGTGTGGTTATAGAGCCACGTAGTGTGGTTATAGAGCCACATCGTGTGGTTATAGAGCCACATCGTGTGGTTATAGAGCCACATCGTGTGGTTAGAGAGCCACGTCGTATGGTTATAGAGCCACGTCGTGTGGTAATAGAGCCACATCGTGTGGTTATAGTCACATCGTGTGGTTATAGAGCCCCGTCGTGTGGTTGTAGGGCCACATCGTGTGGTTATAGAGCCACATCGTGTGGTTATAGAGCCACATCGTATGGTTAGAGAGCCACATCGTGTGGTTAGAGAGCCACTTCGTGTAGTTGTATTATATGAATAAATATTATTTCATACTTAATTCCATTTATGTACCTAATCCTAATCAAATACCATAATATTGAAAATAAAATAATAGTGATTCTCTAAAAACTGGGAGCTTTTGTAAATTGTAACTTCTGGCTCTTCCGTCTCAAGGGTTTGCCGACCACTGTCATAAATATATCTTTTTTAAAAAAAAATAATGGAACCATTTGCTACCGACAACTCGCAGTAATCACTAAAGTAGCAACTGTCCAACTTCTACGAATAAAGCATTTAAAACTGTTATGGCTTACAAAGTCGTATGAGAATGCTATAATATATGTAGTTTAAAGATATAATAATATTGAGATAAGGTTTACTAATAGACATTTTTAATGAAATAAACAATAATGCTTAACTTTTTATATTTTGTTAACATTTAAATTCTTATTTTATTTAATCAATGTTTGAGATAGTTGTTGAAGGCTGTCTCCCTTGATTATGTTTTATTTGTAAATGGGAGGTAAATTATACACATTGTATTATAAAAAAAAGACATTCTGTTATTCAACATTGCAATAACTCAAAATTTGTTACACACTCTAAAACATTATAATATTGATTAATGAACATTCATAGCGGATGTTTTTAACCAATTACGGGTCGATAATTGCCACGAAATTGCCCTTGAGAACAGAAAATTAATTAAAAATCCTACGATCGATTGGTCAGTTTTCGATAATGTTTTTAATTGAATATATGGTAACTGAACACTACTGTTATAAAACGAATATTTTCTAACATCTGTGTGTTTTTAAATTTAAATCTTATAATTGTTTTGTCTCCCCTAGCACTATTTAGCTCCTACGGGGCAGCTACTCCCTATTTAGACATTCTTGGACTAACGTAGTATCTCCACGGAGAAAGGGGGGGGGGACGTAACGAAAGATGGTGTAAGGTGGGGGGGGGGGGAAGGCGACGCCAAGATGGTAGGGTGTGTATAAGGTGAAGGATAAACACATTTGAACTCGTTTTTTTTTTTCTTTCTCCGTCTGATCACGTGAGTGACATAAATTCTCGCGGGGCTAAAGATAGAAATAAAACTATTAGCGAAAGGTGGCCGACACTTCTGTAAACAGCACCCCTCCCGCCCCAGCCGGTCCCGGCATCTGTTTCTTGTTTTCTGCCGGTTTCGGCATCTGCGCCTCATTCCGGCTCCTCTCTGTGTCTCCACCCAGCTCCTACAGTCTTCACTACTGATATCAGAGTTATCTCGCCATTGATCGCGTCATCAGTCCGTGTGCTCATCATTTTAAATAACAGTAGCCGTTATATCCTATGATACACTGGGAGTTTAATTAAAGCAACTATTGTGACAAATGTTACGGTTTTTGTTTTAAAAACGAGATGATTTTTACCCCCAGTCCTATCGCCTCACGAGGTCCTTATTGTCACAAAACAAAAAACGCCCCCTTGACCTAGATAAAGACGTTATAGCTCCACGAATTACAAATACCAAACACGTTTAAATTGACTTAAATCTCCACCATATTCATGCCCACTAGCCACAAACATTCCCATTATATTTTTCAGCATTATTAGTTTCAATTTAATCAGATATAATCTAATTATATGTTACGTCAGATGTGCATACAAGTTCACCAAAGTATCCAATGGACACACCCTCAACCACCCACTACCAGACTCAATGCTTGATGTCTATTTATAGACGACCGTTCGTCCACCACAAAGTTTAACGCCTGATGTCTATTTATAGACGACCGTTCATCCACCACAAATTTTAACGCCTGCTACAGGAAGAGCTCTTTTGTTTTTGACAACCTTTTCATTGACCCAGGGGGGCGGCAACCGTTTATTATGGGTAATTTAAAAAACAGAATCGGAGACGGGAAGGGCGTGGTCGGTTTTTTTTTAAGGAAGCCGCAGTGATACGAGTGAACTACAACACAACTGGAGGAGTAGTCAAACACTTCACCAACATACTTGTAGAGAGTAGAGCTGAGGTTTGAAAAAAACAACATTAAACCTGTTTTAGATGTATAAAGATAAACTAGGTCGAAGTAGGCTCAAATAAAACCAGTTGTAAATTTATCGCATCATTTTAATATGCTTAGAGTAAATGGTTAGTCTTAAGTAAGTGTATTCAAAGCCGTACACGTTAGCTTTGAAGGGTGGGTTAAGGATGGGGTTATATATATATATATATATATATATATATATATATATATATATATATATATATATATATAATATTTATATAATATACCCATCCTTACATAAGATACATACAGCATATATATATATATATATATATATATATATATATATATATATATATATATATATATATATATATATATATATATATGCTAAGTTAAACAACAACTATCCTATCCTGTGGCGCCCATGATGTCTATTCATCAATAGTTCTGGTAAAGTGGATTAGGGGTCTCCAAACATTTCAGTCCGAGGGCCGCATTAACTATCAAATTTCAGTTCAGGGGCCAGTTTCTTCCTGGCATGTCTTTAATTTTTCTGGTCAAAGTTCCTCAGCCATCACCAGCAAACGTTTTTTTTTTTCCGTGGACAAAAATATCTCCGCGGGCCGGATAAGAGGGCCTCGCGGGCCGTAGTTTGGAGACCCCTGTGGTAGACCAATAGTTCTCAGGTTATTGAGCTGGGAAGACCCGTGTGAGCTTCATATGTGTTGTTCCCACGGGTCGATTGTACCGCCGACATATGAAGCAGACGAAATGAAGATTTTTTTTTTTTTTCAATTTGGTTTCGCCGCATCGGATGTCACCAGGCGGGGCACGGCACCTCCGCACCCCCATGTGTGACGCCACTTGGTGAATACATGATTAGTGGTGTATGTTTATAGATATACGAGATCAGCAGTACTCACGTTAGTGGTATATGCTGATAGACATACGAGATCAGCAGCATTGGAATTGACTCACAAATGTGATGGCTTATTGATACTTAGTTTTGCAATAGACTGGCCTTAACCACAAGAGTATGCTACGAATGAAGCTCGTATAACACGACTATTTAAAGTTAATGTCAAGGGTGGTGTTAGGTTTAGTGTTTTATGTCTGGTCAATAATAGCTTTAATCTGTGGTCAGGGATGGATGTCTTATTACAGGCGAAAGCTGTTACTAAACAAAATATGTAGGTACGGCTAAAGGACGAGTAGGT